TCAGAGTCTATGATTGCTGTTTTCTTCCTAAGGTTTTTGGATGGATGATCAAATGCAATAGCAAATGCCTTTAAGCCAGTTAATAATTATTGAGAAGACAAAAAGCATTTTCAGTCATATTAAAGAAGAAAGTAGAAAAGAGTTAGAAAAATGAGCTAAAATTTCTTAGCATATGTATTACTGGTGAAGAGGCTTTGCAAATGTCAGGAAAATTTTTAAAAAATTTTACTTATTATAGTCTATTCTTATTTACATTTTAATTTATGCACTAAGTACTGTACTTTATAAACAAATAATAATCCCATTTTTTATTGACTTACTTAGAATTCTATTTTTGGGAATGCATCTTAATGTTAACTAAAGAATGAGTATTGAATGAGTAATGAGTAATAAAAATTGCCTCAAATTGTTAGAAAAAAATCTTTATAAATATAATAATTTAGAATAATTTTAAAGATTTTGCTTAAAATGAAATAATAATTTATTAATTAATTGTTTTACAGATGTTGGTGTTTTGACATTATCTCAATATATTTTGTTGGATCCTATTATGATGTTCTTTATTATAGGATCAGTGTTGGGCATGGCTAAATTTCACAACATGAAGGAAAAGTAAGAAATTCATTCTACTAATATAGAATTATTTATTTTTTTACATTAAAATTGTAAAATTAGTGAAAATTTTAATTATAAGTAAAATATTATATAAATTATTCATATGATTGAACTGCCAGAAAAAGATTTTAATTAAAATTTAATATTTGAAATTTCTTCTATATTTATACATTAAAATCTAATTATATAAATGAAGAACTAAAAATCATCCAAAGATTGGAAGTATGGTGGAACCCTATTTATCTGGATTCTGTTAATCTGGATTTCCAGTTTATTTGGATTGTAAACACAATCCCTGTCTCAGAAAGATAGACATATAGAAAACCTATAAATGCAAAAAATCAAAGAATTCCTAATTACATCCTTGCCTGAGTGTAACATGAATAGACTTGTTTCCTATGATTCGGCATATGATGTTCATTGTTATACATTCCAAGGGAGTGTTCTTTGAATTTATATATTATCTTGTTGAATCTTTTCTAATTTTTTAAATTTTCAATTTTTAAAAAAATGCTTTGCTTCTCACGGCAGTCAAAATGTTAATTAATTAGTTTATTGTTTGTAACTTCACGAGTTATTATTCACTCAACACCCTAAAGCCTCTATTGTTTCACTGCATTTTACTCATCTTCAAACATTTGTGAAATGAAGTAAACTCTGTGAAAATGACATCTAAAGGAAAGAAAGTAGTGTTATGTTGGAGAAGATTACAAAAATATAAAATAAAAAGTCTATAAACTGTGTTATTTATTTTGTTAACAATTTTTCTGGATTTTCAGTCATCCATATCAGATCCAGCCTCGTTTGAGCCAGATGAATGGGGTTCCACTGTATGCAATAGATTTCATTTATTCTGAATTTTAAAATTTTAGAATGAAAGTTAGATTTACAGGAGTTTTATTTTATCAGTCAGAGCACATTTATTATAAGTGAAAATCATTTGTTTTATTTTATAGTTTAAATAATTTTTCTATTAAATTAATTTAAAAAAAATATACTAAGTAAAAAATAAAAAAAAATTTGAAAATAATTTCTCTTAAAAAATAATATAATATTCAAATTTACTGAAGTTTGAAGGTAGTGTACTATGTTAGATTAGAATTCATTAAGATATTGCAATAAAATTATTTAAAATGTATTGAATACTTTTTAAAAATATGCAATTGGCCTTAATAGTTATAAATATGATGAAATGAATATATTATTAAGTCAATTCTATAATATTTAACTTTCAATTTATGCAAAATTACCTGAAACTTCTTTTAAAATAGATATTAATTATGACAATGTTAAAAAAATTTATACTATTTTTAAAATTTCATTTTAGATCATTTTCATTTCAATGGTGGTTTTGGTTATGTTGGACAGGAATATTTTTGGCATGTGCTATCAGGTAAACAATAATTGAAATTATAAAACATATATAATAATTTTCATATTATTTTCTTTAATATTTATTGTATAAAATATTAAAAATGAAAACTGAATTGTTTTTTTATTTGGAATAAGGCAATTTAACTTACTTGTTAATGAAAATTTAATGAAATGGGATTATTTAATATTGTTTACTTGAACAAGATTGCATATGTTAATAGATGTTCAACTGTATTGTACTAAGTAAAAACAGCTACAAAGAAACACTTAATCTAAAATGTGGTTAAAAAAAAAAGACAGGATTGATTTTTGATAGGACAAAGTCTTTAATATAGGAAAAAAAGATGATTAAAACCGTTAAAATATTTGGAAAATAAAATATTTCAAAATATACCAATTTTTTTTTTTTTAAATTAGAAAAACAAAATTTGCCTACTTCTAGGGAATTAATATAAAGTAAATTACAAAATTTAATATTGAAAAAGTAAAATATGCATATCTTATAATTAATTGTATGTTCTTTAGAACTTAATCTTGTTCAAGTAAACAATATTAAATAATCCCATTTCATTAAATTTTCATTAACAAGTAAGTTAAATTGCCTTATTCCAAATAAAAAAACAATTCAGTTTTCATTTCTTATAATTAATTGTATGTTCTTTAGAACTTAATCTTGTTCAAGTAAACAATATTAAATAATCCCATTTCATTAAATTTTCATTAACAAGTAAGTTAAATTGCCTTATTCCAAATAAAAAAACAATTCAGTTTTCATTTTTAATAAAGTTTTTCATTTTTAAATAAAGTTGGTGTCAAGAACAAATCTTATAGGAACACTCCTTTTGAAGGAAAAAGTAGATTTTTATTTTTTATAATTTAGATCAGATATGCATTTTGAGCTCTATGTTCCTCTTCAATCCTTATTTTATTATGTACATTGGTAAAACTAAAAATAATTATAGTGACAACTGGAATAACTAATTATTAAAACTGTAGGATAGAACAAGTAAAACTAAAAGATATTTTGGTTAAAATGTATAAAAAATTGACTAATAAAGGTAGTAAAAACATAAAACCCTTAAAACCAATAAAAACAGATTAAAAACATGTAAAGGCTTTCACTGAGTGAAAGCATATTTCTACAGTTTTACTTGTTACCTTACAGTTTTAATAATTGCTTATTCCAGTTGTCACTATAATTATTTTTAGTTTTACCAATATACATAATAAAATAAGGACTGAAGAGGGACATAGAGCTCGAAATGCATATCTGTTGTAAATTTACAGAAAATAAAAATTTACTTTTTCCATCAAAAGGAGTGTTCCTGTATGATTTGTTCACAATAGCAACTTTATACTAAGTTCCAAAAAACATACAACTAATTGAGAGAAAAGCAAGAATGCAGCATTTTCCCAAACAGGTAGACTATAATTGATTAAAGATTGATCACTTTTTTATAAATGTACAAAATACTAGTTATGAGGATATCTTGCAACAATGCTACCAAAATATGAAAAAATGTAGGTTTTATCTTTGTTTAAAGAGGCCTTCGGTTTCAATAAGTTTGTTTGCTTGTTTAGTTGTTGTATTGGTATTTCTATAAAGATTGTAGTTCACATGTAGTATTGTAACCATTTAATAAGATTTGTATTATCACTAGTTATACCTGTATAAATTGTATATTACATGCCATTATCATAAATGTAACAACATTTTATCCAGTTACAGTATCTTCATTTCATTTCTTGGGCAATACCAGGTACTTAAGTTAGTTTAGTAATGAAGTCTAGATAAACAGTAATTACATACAAATAATTATTGTGTATAGGAGGGCCACTTTTGAGAGTGCTGGCTGTTGGCATGTTTTTTCTACGACTTATTATTACAAACTACAATCCAACTGGTTGCCATTAATTGACTTTATTTTCTAATTATATTCTTTTTGCTTCTTATTGGAAGAATTGAACTTAACCCAGGTTCAGTGTCTCATACACCACCTTCTTCACCTCGCAATAAAACTTTGACTTCTGCTGGTAAACATCGTTGATCTCCAAGTGAACTAACATTGAAATCATCTTGATTGAACGACTATTTTGCATCTCAGGATATTCCTTCTCAACTACCTCAGAAGATTCTGTGTTTTCTCAGGAATGTTTTGATACTATTCTATTGAAATTGGAAGAATTGTCATCGAAATTTGACTAGTTGTCTAATTTACATAAGGAGTATGATGAACATCTATCTCGCCTGGAAGGAGAAATCACCAAACTTTTGTCTTTTAAAACTGTATGTATGGATAAATTTTCTCTTCAGAATTTTTATATATACTCTGTATACAACGATTTGAAGAAAAATAACATTATCATTTCTGGTTTAAGTGGTAATGATGAAGAATTAGTTAATAATGCTAATGGTGTTATTGAATTATTTAAAAGACAGAATGGGGAGTCTATTCCTTTTATTAATAGTTATCGTATATTGGAACTCTGCTTATATTGTTTGAACTCTATACTCAAGATGACAAAAGAGTTATTTTTAAAAGTTTAAAGAAAATTCAGGTGTCGCTGTCCTACTCATGCATTAGAGTTTTTGATGATTTGTCATATAGATCAAGACTAAGGCGTAGAAAATTGTTGCCTTTTTTTGCAGAAGCTAAATCTTTGAATAAAAAAGTATTTCTGAAAGCTGACTGCCTGACAGTTGAGGGTGACAAATTCACTTTCAATTTAGAAACTAATGAATTACAGAAGATTGATACTTTTTTAGACAAATCCAACCAAAAGGGTTAAGTGAAACAATTGCAAAAAGAGAAAAATAAAACTTCAGTAATGAGAATATTGTCTTGGGATTGTCAAGGAATGCTGGACTTGACAGTGAATGACCAAGAGTTTATACATTTATTGCAAAATTATGATCTAGTTGCTTCTACTGAGACTTGGTCAACTAACTCATAAACTGGTACTTTCTTTGTTGAACTCAGATTTGTTTTTATATGAACAATTTGCTAGAAAACCAATTGATCCTGGTTGTCCATATGGCAGTCTCATTCTTGCAGTTTCCCAAAAATTAGGTTCTTTGGAAATGTTGTTTAACTCCAACAATCTAATAGTGATTAGATTTAATTGTAAGAAAAATTTTTGTTCACCTAGTCATAGTTTGATAATTGTTCTTGTTTATTTGAGAGTAGATCTTTATGACGTACTGTTAAAGAAAATGGAAGATTTGCTGATTAATTTCTCTGAGGATGATATACAGGTAGCCCTTGGTTTACACTGGCTCAATTTACGCTGATTCACAATAACGCTGCTGCACAATTTGCTGTTTCATAGTGTAATTCCCTGATTATCCCTATGCTAGACTGATTTTCATTTCAGTGTTGACATAGGGTGCGTTCGTTAATAGTGGTTGCTCTGCATCTCCGCTACTACGGGAGTGCGCTGCTGTTTGTAGGCATTTAGGAACGATGGTGAAAGAAAGATGGCGGCACCTGCACTATCGATAGTATCATGACGGAGGAATTTATAATTCTAAAATATGAGCTTTTAAAGGCAAAAGAAGATTCCCAATTGTAAAATTTAACCATAAAATGGATTATTTGTTGAAAGAGCATTCAAAATAGCCACGAAAAAAATTAGAATGCTGGCTACATCCGAAAAAAAGTCGAAAAGACACTTACATCACTGTGTGCACTAACTTGCGCTTTCACAACTTATAAATTTTCATTCATAAAACCACATAATGGACCCCCTAAACGAAACTATCTGAGCCATGGAGGACGTCATGCTGCTTTCCACTGCAAACTACTGCTACAAGCGGCTGTTTTTGCCATTCGAGAGCGTGCACTCCAACCGGAATTTAGTAATGCGTTCCGCAGGAATTTTTAAATGGATGTCGCTCACGCGGAGTTACATGGAGGAAGGAATAGAAGAACGCACCCATATTTACTGAGCTGTGACATTGTACATTTGTTAAAACAAAGATTTTTATTGAATATATTTATTTTTTCTGTTTAATATTATTGGGTATGTATACATTTGTATTAAATTAATATTAAAATACTAAACGTTTAGGTACCCACAAGTCAAGTTATTAAACTTAATAGTCCAATAAATGGCGTCCGAATCCATAGCGCCAATGAATGTATCCCGTATCAGTTCGTTCAGGAAAACACCTTACGACGCAGTAGCACTTCCGGCGATCACAAACTATCGTTAGTGAGACAAATCTACTTCTCGTTGGCCAGACGATATCTATCTCTCCTTAATTTTCCCGCTCAAACTGACCTTACATATGCGCTACGGCGACCAGTGGTCGACCAATCAGTGTCTCCGCTCGTCCGTAGCTCTACGTCGGGTTAACGTATCCTTTCAACTATGGAAAGTTTGACGGATGAACTTTGTGAGTTAGACAATGATTGGGAGCGAAGTGCAAATGTAAAAAGGAGCATCATCGCATCCATTCGACCATATTCCGAAATTCTCAATGAAAGAAAACAAAAATGTAAACAATTAAAGATGGATACTTTTTCCGAAAAATGTAAGAGATCCGAAACTAAAATTTTTAATAAAAACATTTAACTTTATTTTATGATAAAATACATTTTAAAAATTAAATTTATTTGTACTTTGTATTATATTGTATTAATAAACAAAATTATTTGTGTATTTTTCACTTATGTAGAACCTAACCCTATACTTCAGTGTAAATATGGGTTCATTTTATGCTGATTCGATTTTCGCCGGCTTTTGTAGCAATGGAACTGCAGCATAAACTGAGGGCTACCTGTAGTTATTTTGGGAGACATGAATGCTAGAATAGGTGAGGAACTAGATAATTTTTATGCTGGGAGTAATACTAATGTTTTAAATTCTGAAAGATCTAATGATTTAATATTAAATCAAAGAGGAAAAAGTTTTTACAATTAATTAAATCATACAGATTGTATATTTTAAATGGTCGATGTGTCTCAGACTACCCGGCTAAATTTACTTTTCTTTTGACAGTTGGTCTATCTGTTATTAGATCCATAACAGTAAATGTTAAATTTATTGGACAGATTACTGGATTTTAGAGTTCTTGATATTTTCAATTCTGATCATTTTCCAATTTCAATATCATTTGAATTTATGACAGATAGTGTATTGACTCTGAAACTTCCAAAAATTTGCTACATATGGAAACAAGAAAGATCGGATGACTATTTATTTATCTTTGATCAGCTCGCTATATACCTCTGTTAAAGAGACCTTTCTGTTGGATGTATAGAGTTATTATGATGAACTATGAAGACTTTGTTAACTTTGGCTTTACGATGTGGAATGGTTAAGAAAAATTTTTCTTTATTATCATTAGAGAAGCAATGGTTTGATCCTCAGAGTCTATGTTTAAAGAAAACAAAGAATCGAGTTCTACGAATGTTTCGTAGAAATAAAACTGGAAATCTATTGGACGAATATTGTAAATTAAATAAAAGTTACAAGTCACTACGTAAGGTAAAGAAAAAGTTATTTTTGGCTAAAATAAACTCATTATTAATGAAGACAAAAAATACTAGTGATTTTTGGTCACTAGTTAATAAATTTCGAATTAAGAAACTGTAAAAATGTTATATCCCCTTCGGATTGGTTGTAAGAGTATTTCATTGGACCAAATACAGTAATTTATATTGATTTAAGTTTTGGTAATAATGCTCCTCTTTTGGATGATCTTATCACTTTGAGTGAATTGGAAACTGTAATCAGAAAATTAAAATCATCTAAGGCCCCAGGTCTTAATAATATAAGGAATGAAATGATAAAATACCTTTCTACAGAAATATTACTAGATATATTGAATATGTTTAACTCTTTTTGGTCTAGTGGCTCTTTTCCTCTATCTTGGAAACAAATTGCTTTAAGAATGATTTATAAGAGAGAAAATAGGCAGATGTCAACTAACTATAGACCAATTGCTTTAATTAGTGAATTTAGAAAGGTTTTTTCAACTATTATGGCAAATTGTCTCCAGAATTGGATGAATGAGTTTAATATTGTTACACCTCTCCAAGGAGCATTTGTTAAAAATAAAGGCGTTGAATACAATTTGTTTATTTTGATTGGTCTTATTCAAATATCACTTTCAAGGAAACAAGGGAAACTATATACTGCTTTTATTGATCTCAAGAAAGCTTTTGATACAGTCGATCATGAATTGTTATGGTATAAGCTTAGGAGCATTGGTCTTTCTGCATTGTTTGTCAACTTACTGAAGAGTCTGTTTTCTAATACTAGATATCTTATAGAAACTTTTTCATTTTGTACTGATTATGTTGAGTCCAATAGAGGGCTACCTCAAGGAGAACCACTGAGTTTTATCCTTTTTATTTTGTTTTTGAATGATCTTCCTAACCTTCTGAGAGGTCAAAATTCTATGATAGCATTGACTTCTCATGTCGAGATTAATTGTCTTCTTTATGCTGATGATATTCTTCTCTTGGCTAATTCAGCTTCTTTGCTTAGAGAAAGACTTAATCGTACTTGGAGATATTGTGAAGATAATCGAATAATAATTAATTCAGAAAAGACAAAGCTTATGATTTTTCATAGAGGTGGAAAACTTAAAAAAAACAGATAGTTTTAGTTTGGAAAATCAAAACTGGAAATTTGTGTCAAATTTTAAATATCTAGATATTTATTTTTCTTCACATGGCACATTCTCCTATCATTTAAATAAAGTTTTACTTGCTGCAAGATCTAAAATCTCCATTCTCATCAAGTTACTTATTAAAATTAAAGCATATTCATTAAATAATTATTTCAAATTATTTGATTCTTTGATTGGACCAAGTATGTTTTATGCTTTTCCAGTTTGGGGCAGTCTTTTAGTAGACAAATTTGAACCAATACAGTTATTCTATTTTAAGCAGGTGTTCCATATTAATAGATCTGTTTCAGGACCTGCAGTGAGAATGGAATTGGGAAGACCTCCTTTAGCTATTGGATTGTCGATAAAATCGTTTTGATTTTGGAGGAACTTATTGACTTACAGAACGATGACTTTCGAAAGTTGGTATATACAAGACTTTCACAGATAGATGATAATTCTTTTTTGAAGCCATGGCCTGCTATTGCTAAAGGATTACTAAATAATATTGGATTGTCCTCTAGTTATATGTATTTAAGTGAAACTTTGTTCTTTTTGGATTGTGATCAACGACTAAGAGACTTATATTGGCTAAAAGATGCTCATCATTTGAGTGAAAGAGGTTGGAACAGTAAACTTTTCTTAATGGAATGTGCAGTCCAGTGCCTTATTTACTGTCTAATTTGAGTTATAAAATAAAGTCATTTGCTGCACAATTTAGACTAAATAGATTTTCAATAAACCTAAATGGTAAAATAATTAATGTCTTATGTGACTCCAAATGTTCTTTTTGTGGAACAACAGTGATGGATATGAGAAAACACCTTCTTGAATCTTGTAATATGTTTTTGGATGTTTGAGTTGCTACACTGCCATCTGATTTTTGTTACCAAATTTTATTTTGTGACAGTTTTGCAATGCTAACTTTGTATAAATTATATAATTTCTTTGTTCATGTATCAAACTTAAAATAACAAATTTTTTAACCACCTTTGTAATAACACTCATTATATCAAATAAAGATTGATTGATTGATTGATAATTATTGTGTATATGCTTATACAGTATTTTATAATGCAGTTTTGTGACATAAGTTTAGTAGATGTCTGTTGATCTATATATATTTGTTGTTCACTAATTTTTTATTTTTAGAAAATCATAGAGAATCCAGTGAAATTCTTAACAGCAGAATTACCATCTGTTATATTAAAACATCTCTATAAAGAACAAAATTGATTTTCTGATAAATTAAAAACAAGCTAAAAATAAATTTTGAGTGCACAAATTTTTTAATTCTTTTTTGTTGCTAATGATACAAATGATTACATTACTCAGTTACTGAATTTCTTAATATAAATCTACTTTTGCTTATTGCATAGAAATCAAATCATTTCTATTAATTAATGTGGTAATTTTTTTGAAGCATATTGTATTTCTCTTATAATTTATAGTGTAGAATCTTAATACTATTTTACTCTTCCCAACTTTTGGGAACCAAGAGAACGTTTTTTCAAGTAGTCGTGGGTTTGGCCAGGCTTGCAATGAGAGCGTCAGGAAGTGAGGATCAGAGCCCGAAATATCCCGAAAAAGATTTTATAGTAGCTTTCCTGGATTCCATCTCGTGCCTGCGATGCGGTTATAGTCTAGAATCTTTTTTCTTATTTTTTGGAAATAATATCAACCATTGGATAGATGTAAAAATAAAATTTAGTTACAATAATAAGTTAAAAAAACATTTAAAAAGTTGCAATTTTTACTTTCCGTCTCTGTTATATATAACACAGGGAAAATGTGGCAATCGGACAGATAATTTTTTTTTTACATTTTTGGACTCGAGGGACTTTGAAATATAGAGAAATGCAAAAAACTTCGGGGTTATTTCTGTATGTATGAATGTTAGTCTGTGTGTGGGGAACGCGATTTTTTCATTCTTTTTGAAGCTTAATAACTGTTGTGCTTTTTTGTCGAAATTTTTTGAAATCTTGCAGGAAGGTTCGTGTATTAGGTGGATTGATGATTTTAAATTTTAGTAATTAAAGCTCGACAGAATGTGGAGATAAAGGGGGACGAGTAGAGTCGGGCTTAATAACGATTTTACTCGTTATTAGCATTTACAATTTTTTTTATAAAACTCATCCCTACCCTCAAAATTAAGTTCCTTGTTATTTTAGAAGAATTAAAAATATAAAAAATTTAAAAAATAAATTATCATNAGCATGCCAAGACGTAAGTAAAGTTTTAGTATTTATTTTCCCTAAAACAATCTATACAATTTATCATTATATATTTTAAAGAATTGGCTTATGGTGCTATCATCACTTTAAAAAATCATCGTACAGGAGGAGGATATTTACATTCACATTGGCATCTTTATCCTGAAGGTATTGGTGCTAGGCAACAACAGGTAAAATAATATTTACATACAGAATGGTAACTTGTTGGAAATAGACAATCATAAAATGATACCAATTTAGCTTCATTTTTTATAAATAAATTTATTTTGTCATATAAATAATAATAATAAAATAAACAATTATTTTATATTCTCGAAGAATTTAGATATAAATTTAACTTATTTTAAATTTCTGACAATTGACACAAGAATGATCATGTTAACCTAAATATTAAAAATTAAAGAACACATTTACTTAACAATTGGCATTAATACATACAGTATTTGCTGTAAACAACAACAACAACAACAACTCTCTCACTAGTCACCATCTTGTTGAGATGAGATGTAGCTCAGTAGTTCCAATGAACTATTGAGGAATGCTTTGGGAATATATATAAGCTTTCAGTAGAGCCAAGCATGCCATCATTTTATAAATAAACTTTAAGCAATTTGTTACTTCTAGCATTTACTGACAACAGGGAAAATGAAAAATTTATGTTAATCTCAATGATAAAACATGTAAATGAGAAAGGTGGCAACTTTAACATCATTATACCGAATGGGTATAAGTGGAAGTCAGCAGAGAGGAGGTGTATTCTAGCAACACTAGGCAAGTTGATTAGTGATTAGAAGGAATTCATTCTTGGAGGGTGATTTTTGTTAGCATTTGTTATTGCTAATTTGCTTGTTTTTGTATATATATTTCTTGTTGAATATTAATCATTGTTTACAAAAATTGTTATATTAACTATTGAATAGTAACCATTGTTTAATTGCTGATGTATTTAGCTAACGACTAAAAGTAAGAATAAATGATTAAAAGTAAGGTTAAAAAGACTAAAATTAAGAAAAAAAAGATTGAAATTAGATCAGTTACTCAGATATGCAAATTAACTCAAATTAAGAAAAAATGACTAAAATTAAGAATAAACAATTAAAATTAAGAATAAAAGACTAGAATTAAGGTTAAAAAGACAAACTTAAGATTAAAAAGTAAAAAAAATATCAACTCACCAGACACTCCAATAGCAGTCGACTGGAAAAAACAACAGTTGTTACAGAGATGGAAAATATGTCAATTGAAATGCTAGAGCAGGTGTTTAACGAGTGGTTAGAAGGGGCCAAGTCATCCCTGGACCAATCGAGGAATTTTAGGAAAACCCTGAAAGATAAAATCATTTACAAACTAGAAGAGGCTGCTTACATCTCTTCAAGCAACTAAAGCAATCACTTATTAAAATGTTTAATCAAAATCAAGACCTCCAGAATCAGTTGGACTCAGCCAGGACTTTGACATCCACGAAGCCATGCAATTCCATAAACAAGGGCAAATCTGGAAAGAAAAAACAATTAGCAAGTATTAATCATAACCAAGCATTGTTGTTCAATGTTTCACTCATTTATTAAAAATTAATTGTTTAATATTTTTTCTTTTATTTTATGTATTTACCTATTTACTAGTAGTAATTTATCCTTGCACCTTTCTGAAAACTGCTTGTCATAAATCACAATACTACTACTCAAACCTTTAAAAATGCAGTATAATTTTAATTTTCAAACATTTTCAGTCACCTTAAATGACCTTCTTCAGGACAGAAAGAACAAATTTCAATTTAAAAAGAAGAATGAAAGTGGAATTTCAGTCTTCTGAAAATTCTTAATCTAAATACATTATTTGAAGTTCTGGCATTCACAGTTTGGGTTACTTTTGTAGTTCCGTATATAAAAGAAATATTGACACCTTTCTTGGGCATTTCTAATGCAGTATAGTTTGATCTAGATAGTCTATGGTAGGAAAAAATCCTACGACTCTATTAAATAGAGAGATTGCAGACATATTTATGACATTGGAGTTGACCTACAAAAAAGACAACACTTCATTGATGTTGAAATCAGAAGCTTCAGGTTTTGGCCAGTAATCTAGAAGAGTTTTCTCAACCTAAGTCTAGATTTGGAGATTTACTAAAGTGACTTGCATAAGGAGATTGGGGTTGAACATGATTTTCCTGTCCTCTTGAAGTGCAATTGCATTTTATCAAACATATGGTCAGGATATAGTGGCAAGAACCAGGTAGTTGGTATATTAGTAAGTGGGTGTGGTTCTAATAATGCCAGTTATTACACATAAAGTCTCATTTAGCTGGTTGTCTATATTTTTTTACATGGCTACTCTTACACCAGATCAGTGCATAATACTCTGTTATAGAAAAGGCCAGAGTGAGACATGATGTAATTCCTGCCAGTCTAGATAATGGGTTATTTCTTATTACTAATTTTTTCCCTTCATAAAAACAAAACTTTGAAATTGAATTTAAAGCCATGATTTATCTTAGAATCAAGGAAATATAGTAATACAACTATAGTTATTCTATCATTTAAATAGTAGTGTTAATTAATATTAATAGTTATCATAGTAAAAGTTACCTTGAATGTCATAAATTTCTTGGTATTTTTATTTGTATATATTCCAGTAATATCTTAATTAATATAGTCATTTATGAAACATTTTAATCTGTCATATTTATGTACATTAAAGTAATATGTTAACATTCATTTAGTTAAATAGGGACTATTCTAATTATTGTGTTGCAATTTGAAAAAATTGTAGACCTATAAATTCCCATTGTCATCCTTCTGTTTGTCTTTCCCTAACCTTGAAAACGGAGTTACATAGATGAAAGTCAAGACCATACAGGGAAAGCTTAGGGGCAGGAGGCTCCAATTAACTATATACACACTTTCGATGTAAACTGGAAGTCACGTTATTTTAATTCAAAAATCTTCTGCTGAAAGGAGTTAGATAGCTACAAGGTTCTTTTGCACCTGGAAAGTCAGAGAAAATCAGAGATTTTCATTAGTGTTCAGAAAAAGTCATGGAAAGTCAGGGAATTTATCTCCTTAGCTGCCTTGTTGATTTCATTTGCTGAATATGGCTGACCAAGCATAGCTATAACACATAAACATATGCACACAGAAATGCAAAGTGCAAAAATGCAAGTTCATATTTTGTGAGGAAGGTCCTGGCTTTTCTGAAATTCTTGTTTTTTGCGATAAAGTCCTGTAGTTTCATTTGTCGTTTTTTTCTTTCCTTAAGTGAATGTTGGTAGCAGAAGATCGCATTCAAAACATCTTGTTTTGCTTTTTCACTCCTTTCAAAATCTGAATGTTTAATAAGAAAATATACCAGAATCTGTTTTGAAATAATTTTTTTTCACCGTTCTGAAGCCATATAATTTTACGGCTATGGATTAATAACAGGATAAACTACTTTTATGTAATAGTGTTTAGTTTTTAATTTTAATAATTCAGTGACTATAAAAAGATGAAATTGTTAATTAGAATAAAAAATAACTAATTAAAAATTTGTTTGCAAACTTTTAAAAGTTGAAATCATAATTTATTAGAATGTTCACTTCAAAATAGCTAAATAGATCAGTAAAAATCTGTAATTTAATCATTTTTCATGTTTAAAACATTACTATACAACAGGGATGGCCAAAACGTGGCGCATGCGCCAAATGTGGCGCATTGGACGATTACAAGTGGCGCTTGTTAGTTCTTAGCAAAATTGCCATATTTGGCTTTTTTTGCGATTAAGAATATTACATAAAAAAATAAATTTTTTATAGTCTGTCATGCAAGTTCATTTGTTGCACAATTCGTTACAGTCTATTTTGCAGATAAAATGAGTGTTCTGCACATAGTAAATTACAGTGAATGCACGTATTTTGAGTCTTGCGATTTTTATTTTCGATCAGTTTACAGGCGTGTAAATGGCCAAAAACATTTATTGTGATTAAAGTTATTCCAAGCTGATCTTGTTCTCAGTGCCAATAATTGTGGTGCAGAATAATCTTCACCAAACGACACTCTGGCAGAAATAGCACCATCATGAAACAATAGCCCTCTCGTACAGGAGATTATTGTTGACTATTGTAAATTGGTGCTTCAATAAACTGTCATAAATTAATTGATTCAACTGCGTAATAAAGTTATTCCTTTTTTTCTCCTAAGCGAAGCAGATTTATTCTTATCTGTATTTATCAGCCCCTAACATTGAACACAAGATTGTATAAAAAGTGTTCGAGTAATATGGCGCATCTGAACTCGTCTGTCAAAAAATTGACGCATGGTATGCAAAAGGTTGGCCATCCCTGCTATACAACATAAAAAATTATAAATAGTTACCAGACATTTACAAAATGCTGGTGCAGACTTCTGGTTGGCATGAGCTTTTTACATTTGTTGTTACGATTTTCCTCAAAAATACTGTACTGCAAGTGTATTTTTCCTCCTCTCTTCCATTAATTTCCGCAACTTTGATACATAGTTTAATAATTAGTTTACCAGAAATGACATTGGGTAACAAATATCACTGATTTTGGCAAATTTAGGGCTTAAAAACTGGCGACATTGATCATACTTGTAATAGATATACAGTAATACCCCGCTTAATGTGGGGGCTATAATGTGGGGGTTCCTAGACAACAAAGTGCTAAATGAAACAGTATTAAACAAGGTCATTTTAGCACAGAGTATATAGAGAAAGGGAAACACATGATCAAAAATAAAGAGATTTTATTTTAATTTTTAAGTTATTTTTATATTAATTTGTATAATAACATATGTTAAATAACACATAAACATATGCACACAGAAATGCAAAGTGCAAAAATGCAAGTTCATATTTTGTGAGGAAGGTCCTGGCTTTTCTGAAATTCTTGTTTTTTGCGATAAAGTCTTGTAGTTTCATTTGTCATTTTTTTCTTTCCTTAAGTGAATGTTGGTAGCAGAAGATCGCATTCAAAACACCTTGTTTTGCTTTTTCACTCCTTTCAAAATCTTAATCATTCACTACAATTTGATCCAACTGTAACTCCTCAATACCCTGCTCATCTAGATCTCCTAGTCCTGCCGTATCAATTAGGTTGAGTTTGGTGAACCTAATGATACAGCGATAGGCTCTTCTTGTTGAGAATTCTTGGATACTTTCAGCCATAACTTCTTCC